CCAATTATATTCATTATCAATTAAATTGAGATCATGTTCTAAATGGGCTAATTTTGCGTTTCCAATATTGACCCTAAGGTAATAAATGATGAGATTTATGATTTGATTTGATCATAAAGTATTTAAATATATACCTATCCAGGAAGCTAAGAATATTAATAACAAAAACCAAAGGAATGAGTCTTAGATCAAGCTTTTTTACTAATATTTTTTCTTCTTCCTTTGTAACAAATTCACTTGAATCGTTTATGATCTCAGCTTCCTTTTTAGTACCATCGATTAAATCACCTGAATGTGTAGACATTTTTTAATGATATAGAATAAATCTAGATTAATAAACTTGTGTTCGCAATGAACAGATAAGCAAAACAGAAAATGTATGCAGAAACTCTGCTATTTATGCGTGTTGAGCATGAAGCTAATACCCGAAATTGCACTTAACTGAAATTACTGTAGCCCCTGAAATTGGATCATCTTGCACGCAGCATTTTTAGGCAGGTGTAACTTCAGTTGCAACTTTAAGCAGTGTTACGTTAATTTTTGCTACAGTCTTAATTATTACCGTTACTTTATAGGCCCCCAAATGAGGGTTTGAGACCCAAATAAGGGTTCAAACCCCTGAATGAGGTTTTGAAACTCCAAAAGAGGGTTTAAAACCCTGGTTGAGGGTTTTATACTCCAGATGAGGGACTGAAGCCCATAGAAAAAAATAATAGCTATTTGTCCTGTAATAAATAATAAATAACGTCCTTATGAATAACTATCATTTATATGCTACTCTCGTTATAATTATCATTAAATTCGAATCCCTTATAAACATCCATTTCGCATAATTATGCTACGTTTAAAGATAATCTGAGATGTATAAATATTGCTCTCCCAATTCTGAGCGTAACAGCAGATGATAACTTCAGGCACGACACGTGTATTGAAAAAAGATCCTGCATTAAGCTTACCATTACTATTTTTGAAAGCCCTATAAAAAAGTCAAAATCCTATTCGGATTTTGTTCAGATTATTATTTTTTTAATTTCCTGGATACTTCCAGTTTCCTGATTTTAGTTTTTTTTTTACAAAATAAAAAACCTGTTCAGGAAATTCTGAAGATATCCTAATGTTTATTACGGAAAATACTCATTTTTTAAAATAATAATCTGAACAAAATCTGAAAAGAATTTTGCCTTTTTTTTTATAGGGAAAGGCTATGATTCTCTGCATAGAAATAATACACTAAAAACAGAGTGTACTCAAAAGTAAATTATTCATGTGTATACTGCCTAAGTCGTTATTATCTATGGTGATAGTTTTAGCTTTAATGAATTATATTTTATGCTATATAAAAGACTAGCATGCTTGCTGTATGTACGTACGTACTAGAGTTGTTGGTGAAACTAATTAGTTTCACCAGAACCATCGGTGCACCGCTGGTACACCGATGGTGCACCGATGGCGCATCGTTGAAGATTAGTTTCATCTATAACTATCGGTGCACCAGCTTCATTTGGTGCACCATTGAAGATTAGTTTCACCAGCAACTCTAGTACGTACGTACGGTGCGAGAAATTTAAAAACCTCAATCTCCATGTTAAGATAATGCATAGACTAGTAGCTCATTGAAAATATTTTTTAATCTCAATAGAGAGATGGGCATATAAATAATAATATGTATTTAATAGGAGCTATTTTATGCATACGGCTGAAACTTAAAATACTGAAATAAACCGCTACTGAATTTAGCATATCTCCAATGTACGTAAATTAGTTGATCTTTATTCTATATAAAGTGATTAAGATTTTTAGATTTCCTGTACCGTACGTAGTTCTGAAAAAAAGCGGATTTGCAGAATTAGGTCTAGATTAGCGTCCCTGGATGAAGGGTGGATAATAGCTAGAATTTTGGATCTGATTTACAATCACACATTGTTAAAATTTATGGTCCTTAATTTAGGACCAATTTCGCAAATCAGCCTTTTAACCTGCTGTCACGTTATTCTCGTGACGTGCATATAATTTTACTTTACTTACTGTTTTTTATTTTATTATTTTTATTTTATCAGATATTATTTCTTTCTATAGCTATACACATCAGGATTATAGACTGTTTGGATTTTGTTCTTGTCAAGAATATGCATATTGGGATTATAGACCGTTGGAATTGGATGTCAAGATTTGTTGTAGACCCCTACTGTAAATGTTTACTGTAAAATCTCGAAATAGTGAGCATGGGCGTTATTTCAAAAATCGCACCCCTGAAAATAGTATATGTGGATTCAAAATAACCTCATGCGTGTCCCAAAATAATGTGCACTCCACTATTATGTATTTTGCAAAAAAAAAAACCAGGTTCAAAAATAGGGATATTAAAGAGTACATTCAGTCTAACCAGCACCGGTTCTTAAAGAATCAGGGTTTAACTTAATAGTTTGCAGCTATTATCATAATTCCTGAAATGCCTGATGAAAATTAGCTGAATAATTTTTGGCCAATTCGATTAAGTTTGTGATTTCGGCATGATCGATATATAAAAGATATATATCTTTTTATATTGCATGTAATACTTTGTTCTACAGATAATTTTAGGGGAAATTACAAATAAGGACCCAAATTTGAAAATAATTACAAATAAGAACCCAAAATAAAAATAATTACAGATAGAGGCCCGATATTTGAAAATTATTACAAATAAGGGCCCAAAATAATTTTACGCTTAAAAACTCGTGATTAATGACTCGAATATGACATTAATATAGTTGTAAATCATTAAGCGCATAAGAAATGTAATAATAATAATCAATTAGTAATTCATATATAAATTCAAAATGCACAATAAAAATGTACTTCTGGTTTGTTCGATTTGTTAACCCATTATCTACGCTGCATTCCAAAATTGTTTTTTATCCTCAAAGTTCTTGACATATTTTTTAAAAATCTGCTTATAACAAACACCATGTTGGATACATTAAAGATCGGCATTTTACTAATATAGAAAATGTTCGCTCAGCCCTGGACAGCTACTCTGTTGAATTCACTTCACCATATAAGTTTAGAACTAACAAACCAAATAAGCTGGTTGTTGTTTGTCCCATGAATAAAAATAGTTCATGCCCATTTACTATTTCGGCTAACAAGCAAAAAGATGATTACATCATATAGTAAGGCTAATTTCTCACGATTCAACTTGTCCAACATCTGTGGAAGCATTCAAGCACGTGGATCGTACCTTGTAAAGTTTACTGCGCCATTGGTCAAAGATATACCAGTTCTTCGACCTGCAATATTATGAATCGTGTTCATTCTGAAGTGAGAGCTGAGACGTCATATATGGCTACTTGGAGAAGTAAAGTCATTACTAAAAAATGTGGTGTGGAGGAAATTAATCAGAGCTATCAACGTATTAAGTCATTACTTGACAATTTGCTTATGGAAAACCCTGGAGCATTACAACGTTCGAAGTTGATGATGAAGACCGATTCACCCGTGCATTTATGTGTTTATAATCAGAAAACCAGGTTACCTGTGGAAAATGTAATAAAAAGGATCATAATTCATGTACATGTGTTCGAAGACATAGAAATGTTAAATAAGAAAATTTACACATAGTAATTATGTAATTAGGCTTGCATAATTATATTATAATAAATTTGCAATTATTTTATTTAATTAATTAATTATTTTTAAAAAAAAATGATATAACGATTACTCAAACATCTATTTAATCACGAGATTATATAAATCATCTTTTTCAAATTTGGGACCTTATTTATAATAATTTTCAAATATCGGGCCTCTATCTGTAATTATTTTTATTTTGGGCCCTTATTTATAATTATTTACAAATTTGGGCCCTTATTTGTAATTTT